CCTGTGCAAAGCAATAACGCCATAACTCCTAATCTGCTTCGGAGGAACGGTGTTTCAGCGTCTTCGGCTATGCTACCTCGGAGGAATGGTGTTTTCGAGTCTTCGGATATGCTGGCTCGGAACCACCATGCCCCGAGCAACGGCATCAACACCGAAGTGTCGGTGCAGATTCATCCCAACTACTACCCCGACTCCATTTTGGTGAATCGTCCTTCTGTGCCACGTCAACCTCCATGCACTTGCACAAGCCGCTCATTTTCACAGTTTCTGGCACAACCACGACAGGAGATGCCTATACAGTTCCGCATGGAGCATGGTGTCCCTAGTGGCCCCATTTCGGTGGCTTCCAATCCTCTTACCACTTTGTCGATGCTAGGAGCGTCGGGATCAAGTCGAGCACAGATTGTCGGGCTACTCAACAGCGTCCACCCCGCTCGTCGTGGCGCACTTACACAAGAAGCGGGCAACATATTTGTGCAGCAGAGAGAGCCGATTGGTCGCAATGATGAGCTAATGGGCTTCGGCGGGGGTCTCCTCCATGGGCATGCGCTTCTTGCGGGCACTGAATCCGTGCAACGTACGGTGCTGATGGGCACCAACGTCGGTCTCTACCATGGGCATACGCCTCTTGGAGGCCCCAGATCCGTGCCATGCAGACAGCCTACGGGTCTCTTTGCTAGCACGACAAGGGGCGGCGACCAAGCGATCGCGGTAGCGACAAACGATCCCATGGCGTGGCGCCTGGCTAGGATGATAAGAATTAGAGAAACTATGACCAGAGCCCGCACAGACATCCTCGCAGGTACTCACCGCGTACTCCATCCATCGTGTATCATTTTCTCAAATGCAAGTGCGGTACATGCTTAACACTATTTTTTCTTCATTTTTGTGTTCGGTGCAGCTGCTCGTGGTCGTGGGAGGCAAGGTGGTGCAAACCAAGAGATGTCCAACTAGACCAATTAGCGAAGAATATGAACCTTGCCGGTCGGCGCCTATCTTCCATCAGCGTGAAGAATAAATCTTAGATCTGTTTTACTCTATTGAAATTGTATTTTGAATAAATGGTCACTAGACCAATGCCATGTTTACTACAATTTATTACTATATCTATATGTAAGACCGTTTTAATTTATTTATTTGATGTTCCTTGGCAAGATGCAATTATATGTACCTCTTGAATTTTCTTTCGAGTAGAATTATGCCATTTGTGTTAAATGGAAGGGGTCAAAGTTGGACAGTTTTGACCGTATAAGCTTGTGTAGGAGCTTATGTTTGCTGAGATGCGAAGCACACAGGGCAATGTTTGCCCATGTTCGGCCCCTCAAGATCGAGGTATACCCTACCTCGGCGTAGACGTATAATATGGATATAGCCATGTATGAGCGCTAGGATGACTACATGGATCACGTAGGTCAAGATGTGTCTGAGAGCAGCCCGGAGTTCCTGCCTTGCCTTATATAGGGGCACACGAATACGGTTTACATGCCAAGTTGGCTACAATCTACCCTATTCTCGAGGGATCACAGTAGATCTTTGGGATATCTGTGTCTTGTATGTGAAGTTGATGACCCACCTGGTTTACGTCATGGTCCGAGCCGTGGGCTTGGGCCATCCCGTGGTAGACGGGCGGACTCATACCTCCATCGGTATTACCCCGGGGGCATGGCATCTTCAATAGCCCTGACAGCGTGTTTGGTTCGGGGGAATTAGAGATGGGGAATGTGAGTTGAGGAGTAACGAGACTAAAAGTGCACTGCTTGATTAGGGGGAATGGGAGTTTAAGTGGGAAGGGGAATGGGAGTTGAGGAAGTCAATTCCCACATATTTCTTCCCAGGGGGTACCCTGTTAATTCGTGAAGAGAGTTTTAGCCCATGTTAATTCCCACTATATGCCAAACAAGGGAATGTGAGTAAAAGTCTACTTCCCATAACTAATCCCTTCATAAACACCCTTGTGCAAACTCCCATTCCCCTGCTCAACTATTTACCAAACAGATTGTGAGTCCTTCAAGGTCCGGCCAATTTTGAAAGGAAACTAAACTTAGCGCGATGTTTTGTACTTTGCAACAAGATATTGATGGATTCATGGAATGAATGTTGCAAAGTTCACCCGAACGACATGAACAATGAAGTTAGTGAGCTAGTAAGGGGTAAGTCCTGGTGATATTTGTTGTGAAGCTGCTTTCATATTTGGCGTTAAGATCTATAGAGATAGATCGAGACGCCTGATAGGACTTTCACAAAGCACATACCTTGACAAGATTTTTAAGAAATTCAAAATGGACCAGTCAAATAAGGGGTTCTTGCCTGTGTTGCAAGGTGTGAAGTTGAGTCAGACTCAAAGCCCGACCACGACATAAGAAAGAGAAAGGATGAAGGTCATCCCCTATGCCTCAGCCATAGGCTCTATAATGTATGTCATGCTGTGTACCAGATCTGATGTGTGTCTTTCCATAAGTCTAGCAAGGAGATACTAAAGTAATCCAGGAGTGGATCACTAGAGAGTGGTAAAAAAATATCCTTAAGTACCTCAAGAGGACTAAGGACATTTTTCTTGTCTATGGAGGTGACGAAAAGCTCGTCGTAAAGGGTTACATCGATGCTAGTTTCAACACTGATCCGAATGACTCGAAGTTTCAGACCGAATACGTATACATTCCGAATGGTGGAGCAGTCAGTTGGTGCAGTTCCAAGTAGGAGTTCATGTTCGATCTAGGAGTTGTACCTGGTGCATCAGATCCGATGACTCTGTATTGTGACAACACCGACACCATTGCCATTGCCAAGGAGCCAAGGTTTCACAAGAAGAGCAAACACATCAAGCATCACTTCAACTCCATACGTAATTACATTAAGGATGGAGACATGGATATTTCGAAAGTACATATGGATCTGAATGTAGCAGACCTTGACTAAACCTCTTCCATTAGCAAAACATGATCAACACCAAAACTCTATGGGTGTTAGATACATTACAATGTAAACTAGATTATTGACTCTAGTGCAAGTGGGAGACTGTTGGAAATATGCCCTAGAGGCAATGATAAATTGCTTATTATCATATTTCCTTGTTCATGATAAAAGTTTATTATTCATGCTAGAATTGTATTGATCGGAAACTTATATACATGTGTGAATACATAAACAACACCATGTCCCTAGTAGGTCTGTAATGGACTAACTCGTTGATCAAAGATGGCTAAGGTTTCCTAACCATAGACATGAGTTGTCATTTGATACATGATCACATCATTAGGAGAATGATGTGATGGATAGACCCAACCGTAAGCTTAGCAATAGATTGTGTCGCTTAGTTATTTGCTATAGTTTTCTTCATGTCAAGTATCAGTTCCTCAGACCACGAGATCATGCCACTCCCGGATACTGGAGGAGTGCCTTGTGTGCTATCAAATGTCGCTTCATAACAGGGTGATCTTAAAGGTGCTCTACAGGTATCTCCAAAGGTGTATGTTGGGTTGCATGGATCAAGACTGGTTTTTGTCGCTCCGTGTGACAGAGAGATATCTCTGGGCCCTCTTGGTAATACAACATCACAAGAAGCTTCATGTGACTAATGAGTTTACTCATGGGATCTCTTATTACAGGACGACTAAAGAGACTTGATAGTAACAAGATTGAACTAGGTATGGAAATACCGACAATCAAATCTCAGGAAAGTAACAATCGCGGGACAAAGGGAATTGCATACGAGATTAACTGAATCCTCGACATCGTGGTTCAATCGATGAAGATCTTCGTGGAATATGTAGGAACCAATATGAGAATCCAGGTTCTGCTATTGGTTATTGACCGGAGAAGTGTCCCGGTCATGTCCGCAGGGCCGCAAGCTTAATGTTCAATGATGCTAGAGTAGTATTGCGATATTTGTATTGGTGACCGAAGGTTGTTTAGAGTGCCGGATGAGATCTCAGACGTCACGAGGAGTCCTGGAATGGTACAGAGGTAAAGATTTGT